AAGAGCGTCCATTCTGTCGCGAAGAAGAACATCGGCCAGTGTCCTTTTCGTCGTAAACCTTTTACGATTACAGTTTCATTTTCATAAACGTCAAAGCGGTGACCTTTTTGCGCGACAGTCCCATGACCCGGTCGGATTGCAAACTCCTCCTTTTCGTTGTTCTTTATAGCTCCCGGACACTATTTGTCCCGTGTATACCTCTGTATTTGCTAGCTGTCTGCCGTAAGATAATTAGTGTTTTGTCGCGTTGCGGCTCGCCGCTCGCCAAAGGGTAAACCCGGTTTTGCCCACGCTTTGATTTATGTCCCTTCTCGTGGACGATGGATAAGTACGCTCCTAGTGGACAAGTCTGCGAAATCTGCGAGAAAATCGTGCCCTTTCTTCATCATTCGTCAGTCGAATGTGTCTTTCTTCCAGCGTTTGGACATCAGGGGACGGGTGAAGGTGCTTCATGGTCAAAACAGGAAAACGGAGGAGCCGCCGCTGGCTCTATTTGCTCTGTGCACACCGTTCGGACCACCATCGCTGCTGGAAGTGCCGCAAAAGGACGTGATGTTCAAGAGCAAGCACAAGCTGGATCTCGCGCTCGTGTCGATGGACCAAAGGGGAAAAATGTTGCTGGGCTATTCGGATGCGGAGCTCGCGAACCTTGGCGGCTATGATCTAGTCCATTACGATGATTTGGCTTACGTCGCGAGCGCTCACCAAGAACGTAAGAACTGTTTCTATTCCATCCAACCTCATATTTCACACCTTTTATTCGAAATATCTTTTACCGCGAAATTACACGAGTCTTTTGATCACTTTCAGTCCTGAAAACCGGGGCCTCAGGAATGATAGCGTACAGATTCCAAAAGAAAGATGGCGGATGGCAGTGGCTGCAGACTAGTTCCAGGCTAGTCTACAAGAACTCGAAGCCCGACTTCATCATGAGCACGCATCGACCTCTCATGTAAGCGGCGCTTAATCGAAGAAGTAATTAGACACCTCGAATTCCCTCGATACGATAACCTTGCTAATTCTCCAGGGAGGAAGAAGGCAGGGATCTGCTCGGTAAACGGACAATGGACTTCAAAGTAAGCTATCTGGACGCTGGCCTGACCAACAGCTACTTTTCGGACAGCGACAGTCTCACCGGTTCCGTGATGACGCCGACACTCCCTAGCCAACCGACGTCCCAGAGAGTGAACAGGCGGTACAAGACCCAGCTCAGAGATTTCCTGTCGACCTGTCGGAACAAACGAACCAAACTGACCGCGCAATCGTCCGTTTCCCCGCCCGCCACACCCACTGTCGCATCCGTGGACTACCTTGCGGCTGATACCAGCGCTGCGGCTGCAGTTGCAGCGGCGTACAGCAACCTGAACACGATGTACCCGACTGCTTATGCACCCACTGCTGTCGCAGCCAGCACAGACCCTTCGTTGACCACGTATATTGGTCACACGGGCAACTATCACCAGACACTATACCCGGCTACTGCGTTGGACAATAGGTAAGTCTCGTGCGTTTATTACGGTTAATTTATATCGAACATTTGATTGGCACTGCGTCGAATCGTGACGCGCAATTGATCATGTATTCGGATGGTCAATCAAACGATTGCTATAAATAATTCTTCGGGTAACAGAGACGAGCCTATCAGTCGTAGTAATCCTGAAATTTGAAAAATTCCAGGTACCTCACAGCAGCGACGGAAAACTTGTTCCAATACAGGCCCTTGGGCTCCTACTACCCGGAATACCACACGAGCACCGCGTACAACGGTTTCATCGATGTCTCTCTGCCCACCTACGAGACGCACCAGCTGACGAGTAAAGCCGAGGAGAAGCTCTACTGCCAACAGCTGGGCGAGTCTCCCAAGTATAGCTACGTGGAGACCAGACACCCCAGCAGCGTGAGTGGCTCCCCCTATGCAGCCAGTCCCGTCGCCAGTGCGTCCACGATGCACACCACGACAGCGGACATCAACATCGTCCGTGCCGGCAGCAGGCACTCCCTGGAAGGTGGAGCTTCCTCCAGCAATTCCGCTGGAAGCTCGCCAGTGACCGGTCCGACGAACGGCGTGCTCACGCCGAAGATAGAGGACGTAAAACCGGAAGTGTACGGCAACGAGGCTCCCCGACAGACTGTCCTGATGTGGGGAGCACCTCCTGCGCGTACTCCACCGAGAAACAACGGCAGTTACAGCCCACCCACGCCGCATTCTACTCATTCTTCTACCCATTCCACTAACGCGACCGCCGGGGATCCCCTGAAGTCTCTGGCGGAAATGAATTCCATGAACGGCGAGTGCAAATGGCGGCAAACGTCGCCCAGCGAGCAACAGACCACCGCGCCCAGCTCCCCGAGGACCAAGGCGCAGTCACAGCAACAACACCAACATCACCCGCAGCAGCAACAGACGCAGCAGCAGCAGCAACAGCACCAGCAGTACCCCGTGACCACGTCACAGTATCAGGCCGCAGCGGCGGCTGCGGCTGCGGCTGCGGCCGCGGCAGCCAGCACTATCGGATACGCGCACTCGCATCCAGGCCATGGCCACGGGGAAGCGGGCTCCGAGGTATGGCAAGGAGTGCAACACCACCACCACTACCAGTACTATCCCTACCACCATCACCACCCCGCACCACCAAGGCACGCGCCCCAGTGAGTGTCACTGCTGCCTCACAGATTTTAAAGTAATTCTTCCGACATGGAAATGAATTTCAAGTGGCTCACAGCTCGCGGTTAACCCCTCCAGGATAGCCGGAGTGTATCGTGGAATTTATTTTCCCATATTTTCCTAGGGGTTGATAGAGCAGGGTCGAGCGAACGCCCAGCGTTCGCTTGATTCCTATTCGAGATTGTCCTCGAGGGGTTAAATGAAAATAATTCCTACAAGAGACTTACTTAGACTTCGTGGATTAGAGGCACCGTTATGTCGATAATATTCTCAGACACGGTAGATGGAAGGAAGATAATCGCGCGAGGAATAAAACGAGATACCTTCGATACCTTTGATATTTTACTGCTGGGCATGCACGAAACAAGTAATGCACGAACTTCTCTCAAGCGTACCACTATCGATTCGATATCATACTCTGCATGTCCACGTTTTCGTTTCTCGAAGCGACAATCTCTTTTCTCCTCGAGAGATCGAGCAATTATTTCCGTACAGTTTAATTTAGTCCACTGCACTTAGGAGGAGAAAATTATATACACGTTTACGTCATCGAGAATGGAAAGAATCGTCTGGCGAAACAAACGACGGACAGCGTTCGACTAAACGAGATATAATTAGAGCGGAGTCGAAGGTCGGGGGCGAAAGGGGTTGCAAATAACGGGGAAACACACTTTCGGTTGCAGCACGCCCCCGTCAGCTGTGGGAACGGGGACGGGAGTCGGCATGGGCATCGGGCCGGACAGCAACACCAGCAACAGCAACGTCTTGTACCACCCTCCGCACCACCACCCTCAGCACCAGCACGCGGTGGGATCATCAGCGGCGGGAATGGGCCCAACTGTCCCTCAGATTCCAAACCGGACGCCGGGAGTCCTTTGCTGTCCATCTCTGAGGTGACTAACACCCTGCTCAACCAATAGTCTCTTCGTCACCTCCGCATCGCTCCGTTTTAGCGATCAAGGTAATCCCAGCAAGCCGATAATTCATCGTGTACCGTACGTTTTACGAATCACAGACGATTCACGACGGTATACTCAATCATAAGCATTCGAACTATGTCTACATTGTTTCTGAAATACGATCTTTCTCTTGAATGTCCGCAGGTATCTCCCAGGAGATAGTTTCACCGAGGCGAATCACAAAACGCGTGACTGTACCATACAGATAATACCGGTTAAAGCTGTTAAGAGTGTTCCCGTATAGCGCTGTAACATAACATACTCATTACAGTTAATGTCCGACGTTGCTACGACGTATGTGTATGTACGCCTGATTACGTTCATTCGTCCGTATTGTTAAGTTTTCACGAGAGTTCTCCGGGGGTCGTGCAGAGTTTCGAGTCTCCCGCTCGTCGATCGTGAAACCGCGTGAAAGGTGATGATTACACGGAGATCCTCGAGCCGCGTTTCCACTGAAAATCCACGGCGGAGGGTCGACGTTTACCGCGTTCGCGTGGCGAGTTTCCGCGGTAGGAAACGATAGAAAATTTCTGCCAGCCGAAAGATTGTAATTTAATGGTACGTTTGTAATTAACATATCGATACCGTACGGGGTTCGTAATCGATACAAACCGGAGTGTGGCTAGTATGTCCCTTTGGCTCGAATCGCAACCACTTTTGTAAGTTTCTTCTATTTCCTGTAATTACCCACGTAACACGCGCAGACATAGGCACACACGGATAGAGGATAACCTGCCTTCCACGAAAATTTCCTGGGGCGAGTATTTGAATTGTCCACGCCAAGGGATCACGCCCTAACCACACTTCCACCCTCGATCCTTTGAACGTGTAAAGGAGCAATACAGATTCCGTCGAGGAGCACAAAACGAATCGCCTCGATCGAGCTACGAGAAACGCAACACACATGGAATTTAGTTTTAATTAGGCCTGCGTATATCGTGTGATCGTGCTGTACGTACTATCGTTGCTTTCTTCTTTCTTTGTTAATCCTCTGCGGGGCCCGGTTCTATCGATGCCAGGCTACCGCGTGCCCTTGGCAGATTCGGCCAGCAAGGGGTTAATCGTGTCATTGCGTTCGTGCGTGTAATCATTTTTTAATGGAGTACACATGATTCTGTGATATGTGTTAGGTAACTTAAAAAGTGCGGTATTCTTCTAAAAGATATTTAAGATTCGTGCACGCGAAAATGAAAATATTCTGGGCAAAAAAAAAAGAAAAGAAAAGAAAAATCGATGGAAACCAGATAGACGTGTTCGCCTCGCCGCACTTCTTATACGAGGAATCGAATTATACCTTCGAGAAACATTCCATTTCGCATTCCAATCCCCAACTAGATGGACCAAAGTATGTATTATCCATGGCAATACATGAACTATATAAACATTCCTTGTACACTTACGCATTTTCATTTTATCATATCGCTATTTTATTTAGAAAAGTAAAAAGAAGAGAACAAAAGCAACCCCGAATAATTCGATTCCTGAATCACACCGTTTGCGTTTTCCTGTCAAACAACGTCAAGATACAGTTGCGTATTCCGTTGAACGGGCCAAGACGAGAAGAAAAGAGGGAAAAAAGAAGAGAGAGAGAGAGAAAAGAAAATGTGAAAAAATGGGGGAAACTCTCGATTCGGCTGAACCTCAGTCTTGCCAATGTTTTGTTAATAAGTTTGTAATTTTTGTACTTAATTAATTTATACGGCTATTTATGTACACGCGCGTAAATCGAGGTCTAGCGAAGCTAGACGAGCCTTCCATAATTTTAGACGTATACTCTGATTTCGCGAATGTAACGTCCGTGCTCGGGAAACGAGAAGACTGTGCGCGAAGAAGAGGAATGAGGGTGAGAATGGGCAGAGGGTACCGGAAGTCTCGATCGACTTCCCGTGGCAGCGAACTGTCCGCGTTTTAAAGAGGAGACCAGAGTGATTTTACGATGCTTCGAATCTCCGGGTCAGAGATAAGAGATGACAAAAGAAAAACGTGATTTTATTTTGCGCATACATATCAGAACAAAGGGGAGGGGGAAGGGAGCGTGTAAACCCTTCTTTTTCTATCGCAATCTTGATATATATATATATACAAAGAGATATATATGTATACATAAAGATATATATATATATTGTATTATTTGCTGGTAGGAACCGTTTCAATTTTACGGATAGCGTACTGATTTCGACGAAATCCTCTTTTTTCCTTCCGATCCACGCATCCTTTTCAAACTTTCAAACTACAATTATTCTGTAACTTTACCTACTTCGTGTCGTTGTAGCGTTATACAATATACGAAACTATTTTGCTATGATTCTTTGTAAACATCCAGTCCGCTGATCGGCTTTACGACAAAGGACAAATTTCGTGACGCTCCAACACTCGTTACCGACGTAACTCCTCGGGGCCCAGGACCGCCTAACTCTCAGAGAGGTGTGTGCCTCTTTCATTCGACGCACGGGGAAATTTGAAATATTCGTGAAGGGGGAAAATTATCGACAATAAAAGGACACTAGACATATCGATTTTTACTTTTCTTTCGCGCTTTCGAGCAAAGATCGCGTAAAAACGGATATGCAACGGGGACAAAAGCCAGGACGTCGGTAACGAGTGTCGAGGACCCATACTGTAAATTCACATCTTCGACCGTAACAGCTTGAAACTACGTTTCTTTGCAATATCGTATGAAGGTCTACTATTATAAGTAATTGAGTCTAGTCCATACATAAAGCGAATTAATGATATATCTACTATGCTTAAATTGTAACAATGTTCTCACTCGCGAAGCAACCCCTGCCGACAATCTTGCTTGGTAAACGAATTACCTCTCCACTGTACACATGTATCTATACATAAACCCGCGTTAACGATCCCAAAATCGTCCGTCAACCTTCGAATCGAACGCGTTTCTCTCGACAGCCTCGACCCTTATACGATAATATTTTTATTACAAACTTGAAAGACGAATAGGGAAGATCGTGTTCGTGCCTGTATATTTCTTTTCGAGGGTTGCAACAGCAAATTCTACCCCTCGTGTTTGCCCCGAGTACACTCTGACAAATTTTCAACAACTGTTTAATAAAGCATGCTCGATTTGGGGGTTGACGCCTGGCCACCCCTTCTTATTTCATCACTGTGGTGAGAATATTCTGACAGTTTAAGCATACATGTATATTTACTGTATATTTAAAGTAAGGTATCTTCTAACGAGTATAGATAAGATTTAGTCGATATAGACGATTCTCCCCATAGTTATCCACATAGATCAAAATACGTACCTTATTTTATAGTGACCGGTATCTGCAGACAACATGCAATTCAATCGTGGCCCCCTATCGAGTTGGATCGTACAACTGGAAATTTTATCATCGCGTGTTCCGTATTTTCGATCGATATTTTCGATCGCGATCAACGAATATCACCGAGTGCCTGTTTCGATCGAGAGGACTTATCAGACCAGTGAGACCAATGTTTGTTGATTTCTTACGATGTAAAAATAAATAGGAAGATACTATTCGCGCATATCGAGATGGATTGAATAAATGTAAAATAAAATATGAACTTGATAGTTGATCCCCTCTTTTTCGAATAAGTCTACGAGACGAAATGCTATATAATTGTAACACGGCGAGGAGAAGGATAATCGTGGAACAAAAGATATCGTCGCATATCGCAAAAAAAGGTGTATGAATTTATTTTTTGAGAATTCGACTATCCCGAAATTCACGATGATACCTCGAGACAATTGCTCAACGAAAGAGACAAAATTTAAATACTTTGCAGATACCTGTATTCTCACTACTTGTAAATTTTTTAACTCGACTATCCTTGGGCTTGAACGAATTAAAAATGAGAAAAGAAAAAAAATATCGTCAGCCCGTTTTCCTTTCGAAATATTTCTCTCAACGCCTTGTCCTCTGGCTAAGAAAACGTGTTGCATCCTGTTCTGCAGATGTTCTTTTATATATCCGAATGTATCAAAGTGAACACGATAATCATGCCAAACCAAACTTTGACTCTCCTCGATCACTCCATCCAATTTATCTCCGATATATTCTATAGAACCTAATTACTTATTAACACTAAACTACTAAATGCTAAGCTCTACGAAATGAAATTTTAAAACTGTATCAAATGTTTATATGAAATAAATTATAATAATGCAATAGAACGGACGTTCTATCTTCTCTCATCTGCGCTGCTGCGAAAGAAAGGAGAAAATAATAGCATGCGAACTGAAATTTCATACAGGTGAAGACATTTCAACTCCATCGTGTTTAGGTATGTTTCTTCTGTTTCTTTTTTTCATTTATTTATTTATTTTTCTCATTTATTTCAATTAAAAATGACTCGTTACACTTATCATAGCAATATGTATATGTAAGGCCCGTACTTACAATACATTGAAATCATCGGTTTAACGTATGTCGAACGTATGTTAATACATGAAACTGAACCAACAGATAGATCTGTGTGTATCTGTGTATACGTATTTATTATGCGTCACGATTTTTAAAGTTTAACAGTTTGGTTTTCACTGATACGACTTTGACAAATATCACTCGATACATAAGAGACAGCCTCGCGATTCTAAGGAAACAACGAAAACCAAAGACTCTTGATTCCTATGCGGCAGATTCCCGAATGCAACGGCCAGAACTTCTTTGCACCTGATTAGTTTTATTTACTGGCATTAATAGTGTGTACAGCGCAATAAAGCTTGTATGAGATAAGTAACAGCGATTCGATATTCATTTGTGGGAAATAATCGACGTCCGACATGGCTTAGACGGAAGTTCGTGCTATTCTACACGATTGTTCAAAATGCAGACTAATATTTGTTTGTATAAAATGGATACATCATTATAAAATAATGGTATCGGAATCGTGAATGAAAAAGTTCGCTGATGTGTACATGTGTCTGATTAGTTTTCATAGAAGTGGATTACGTAGGAATAGATCGAATAAAAAAAAGACCAATCTCATTTTATACAGGAATAACACTACGGTTAAAAATCTGACTGTGGTAGATCGAAATAATTACAAACTGTCCGGATACTATACAGTTAAAGATATATTCTTCGAATGAATCTAATGAAATTGGGAAGAGGTGACCTAATCGATATCCGACATCACTAACACGCGCGCACGTGAGAAATTTCAAATAGACAATCACAATGAAAACCTTTACTTTCGATAATATTAGCGTTATTCATCGACAACAAAAGGTATATCTTTCGTTTTTCTCTTTTTCCTTCGTTTCATTCCTTTTAGTTCCGTACGAATATCTCGAAAAGTTATTTAATTATGAATATGTATATACAACCTTGGCTAGAAGTTGGTCAGGTTCAATTCCTGTACCGATGCGACGACGATTTCTTACCGTCCCGATGATTCGACTGCCTTGATCTCGATCGAGATTTTCTATGATCCCTAGATCTAGATCGTGTCCTTCTTTTGCTCCTGGAAACGTAAGACTGCGAGCGTTTACGTTCCTTTGACCGTGTTCGAGATCTGTCTCTAGCTCTGGATCTGGATCGTGATCTTCGTTTGTCCCTGGCACGAGATTTACTGCGTCTGGTAGAATAGGACCGACTTCTTCTTCTGCCTCTTGAATGAGAACGAGATTTCCTTTTTCCCCTGGAACGCGATCGAGACCATTTCCTCGTTGCCGAGCTGGATCTAGATCTACGACAGCTTCTCGAGCGAGATCTACGCCGTTTGCGATTTCTCGATCTCGATCTGTGCTTCTTACTGGACCTATAATTGCTCGAAGACCTTGAACGATATTCTTTACGAGGTTTTATCGATCTAGACCTGGACTTGCGTTTGTGGCCACGCTCGGAAGAACGAGACCGAGACTTTCTGCCTCTCGATTTACTTCTACTCTTTGATTTCCTCTTTCGATATTCACGGTCACGAACTTTGCTCGATCTTTTCTTCTTCAACGAGTTTCGACTCGAGTCAGAGCTCGTGGACTCGGAACTGCTAGATTCGGAATCGGCTGACCCTGATGGAGTATTGGTCTTTGCCATATCAGGCGGCACTATTTGTTGCTGTGGACTTTGTCCGCCGCTCGACAAAGTTTCAGACGCTTCTCTTTGATTATTTATCGTTTCTTTTTCATCAACTAAAGTAGTGATGTTACGGAGTTACGCTTAATGATGTAATGACCACTTAGTTTTATTATATTTCGAAACATACCTGAATCTTTGCAGCTTGTATTACCAGTATGATTTTCCTGTTGTTTATTATACTGCTCCTCGTAACGTTGCTCTTCTCTCTCATCTTCCTCCGCCAGACGCGCCTCGATTTCTTCCTCCGTCTTTTTGAACGCTTGTTGCCGCCGTTTCACCGTTTCCTGCAATAATATCCAATATTACTTCCTATTCTCAAGCTGCGATCCACCATCGCCAAGAGTAAATACGTACTATCAGCTCCTCGTCGCTATCATTTTGAGCCTGGACGTGCTCGTTCTGCTCCTCCTCAGACTCGCTGTTGCTGTCGCCATAGATGCCCAGACCTATACGAAACATTCAGTTCATTATTCTCATTCTCTATCTATCGTGTGTTTTCGTCAAAATAAAGACATACGCTCGACCACTAACTATGCTGCCGCTACGATTGAAAAATGTCCTGAAAGACATCTTCGTTTCACGAGAACTTATAAGCGAGCATGGCTACAGAGAGTGGTACAATGCACGAACGCATTTTTACAAATGACTGCGTGTACACGACCGGTTCCTAGGATGACCGTGCGTTGAAGATTATAAAGACTTAGCAACTTACCAAGCTTACGAGTGATCTGAGCAAGAGGGGCCATGTTGTTGAGGGATGCGACGGGGGTCTCTCCTGCAGGGACTTACAATACACACGCATTTAGTACCAATGGCTAAGTGCTATCATCAGGATACCCCCCAAAATTAAATGGTACTGATCACCGATATCACAAGGAGAGTCGATCCTGCCTTCAATCCTCATATACCTTAAGAAATCTTTAATAGCAATCCATTTAGATATACGAAACTGAAACTGCTTTAGTAAAGTGACGTTAGTAGAAGAACATATCAACGATCAGTTTACGTGCAGAGCCGGAAGGTAGAGCAAGATATCAATTGAAACAGATACGGATAGGATCGTGTAAAAATATTACACTATCTGATAGCTACGGTATATAAAGCAAATAAAAGGTAAAAATAGATTTCGAAAACGAAAAATTAAGATTAACTCTATGTGCTTTTTCATAACCTCGGTAACAACGAATGTGATCCCATTGATCAACGATTAATTAGATTCATCGAAAAACAATTACAAAAACATTTTATGTAATATTTGCCCTTTACGCGTTTTTTTTTTTTTCTTTTTTTTTCCCCGTACATAACAACTATATCGAATCTTATCGTATAACTTTTTACCACTTTTACTTCGCTTTTTTTTTCACGAACAATTTATTCTTTGAGTTAGTACAACTTTTGGATTTCCAACAAACAATAAAGAAAACGATTCGATAAAAAAAAAAACAATTATCGAATTAATTGTATGAGAGTTCAGTTAAGAAAATCGGGTAACATAGTTTCTATAATGCTATTTAAAGAAAAAAAAAAATATAAGTATCACTTATGGTACGTGTATATTAAGTCCTGGAAAAATAAAGTAGGATATCCTGAAATCATCGAATAATTAACTCTATGAATTGAACAATCTTTGTTTAATGTTTAAAAGCTTATATTACACAAATGGGCAAATAAAATTCACCGCAACACTGCACAAGACTCATATGAATAAGATTCTGTGCACTGGTGAGCGAAAGTATGAAATATCAATTTGTTAGTTGTATCGTGTGTATCTGGGGTACCTTTGGCACGTGCGCGGCTCCAAACCTCTCTGCACATAGAACCGATTTCTTCGTTCGTTACCTCCAGAAGAATTTCCGTCAGCGATCGCCGTACCTTTAACATCTGTACCGAAGGAAATCTGTAATATAGCTAATCAAACTGCGATTATCAATGGTTTCGAGCGAGATAATATTCACCACATCCTGCAGTATCTCTTCTCTTGAACGTTTCGGAATGGTTATAGTCGCGTTAGACGTGGTTGGACTTCTGTCTGTATGCGCATGCGCATCCGGCGAGTCTGCATCTCGAAAACGTGATTTCCGTGGACGAAGAAGAATGTCTGGGGTACGTTCAAAATTTTTTTCAGTCACCTGTTGATTACGTACTCCCTCGTCATCTTGTTCTGTTTCCTTCTCGGAATCAGAATCCTGCGTTTCAAAAGAGCAACGACGAATTACGCAACGATGTTTCTCACGAATATTTAGCGTAGCTGTATTTGCGAAGCACGCAATTAATGCATGCATTCGGACACCTACAAATTTGCTTTTACAAGGATTCAGTACAGCCCGAGCTTCATCCTCGGCTTGCTTTCGGGCTTCTAATTCTTGTTTCCTTAGTATCTCTTGCCTTTCTCTTTCAACGGCTTTCTGTTTTTCTTTTTCCATTTTTTCTAAACCCTCCCTAATCCATGCCGGCAATTGTCTACGTTTTGCCGCGTCTAAAGTAAACATATCCTCATCGTATGAATATTTTACCACGGAGACAACAGGACATTATCGTAAAGGTTATTTGACGAATACGCGAGAAAATGTAACAACAAAACTGATCAACTAAGGTACTATCATCGCATGAATATTGTAATCCATCGTACATCTTTGTAAATAATAATAATTGTTATATCATTCAATTATATTATGTTTTACATATAGAAATTAATAGCACATTTAATCATACACATTCTACAAACCATACTTCTTTTTGACTCACCTATGGTTGTTGTCGTATCCTCCTCAGGTGTTTTTTCCCTATCCTCTCGACATCTTACAGTATCCATGGTCCTCATATGTGGTGTTCTATTTGTATGTCTCACTCCTTTCATAAAAGGGGGTGGCTGAGGAGGTATCGTAGTGGGTGGTTCTCCAGACCAATAACTAGTCACCTAAATGTAAAACACTTATTATCTGCAGTTTCCGATGTATCTTATATTCCATTCTAGAATATCTATTATTTTCAACTATACTAATTGCTTTCTCATATGATACTATAAATCTTATTGATTGGGAAAAATGAGAAGAAGTCAAATAAATTGAGAACATAATTCAAACTACAATATAACAAATGGTATTTTCTCTTGTCAGCTTTACGACACAAATGTTTAGAAACAGAACAACACAATTTTATGCATAGCATTGTTTTGCTAAACCTGTGTAAAGGAGGAAGTGTAGGAATCTTTGAAGTTTTATATTATATTAGATATACAATTTTAACCTGACTATAAGGTTGTGTTGGAGGTACTGAATTATAAGAATACAACGATGGTGTGGTTGGTGGTGGCACACTAAATTCTGATGTTGTAGATATAGTTGGAGCAGGTGGAATAACAGGTACTGTTGGAATTCCCATAGGCTTTCCATCAGAACCTATAGAAACACCCGGGGGAGGTACACCAGTCCATTCCCAAGTACCTGCTCCAGAACCTGAAGTATTCCAATGGCCCCACTGATTCCACTGATTCCATGCTTCAGCTGGTATTAAACAAGATATATTATTAAAGAATATTGTAAGTATAATTTAAAGCGTCACCGAATAAGTATAAATTAGATATATATTTTATGTTTTTAAATAAAATACAAAATACATTTTATAATACAAGTACATTGGCTATATTAAATTAAATGAAAAAAATTAAAAGATAATTAAACTTTATTTTGACTGTCTTTACTCGAACATACACTTACATTACTTTTATTGCATTTAATACTTTTATTACATTAGCTACAACTATAATAATATATACAAGAAGCATACGCATAATAAATTCTATTAGACTAATTTGTTTTTATTACCTGATCCACTGATGGTCGGTGCCGGTGGTGCTGGTGGAACATCGTCTTCTTTCGTATCCATATCCATTGGAGCTTCTCCGCTACCATCAGTTCCAGGACATATAGGATTAATCGTAGGCGGAGGTGGTGCTGGTGGCACTACAGTCTCTTTCATTTTGATCCACTGTTGAGCTAATGCTGCCCAGTCAACTGAATGGTGATTAAAAGTTTTGCATAACAATTAAATATTGTTCAATCATGATAAAAAATGAATCACATATATACTAAATATTGAAATACTTGTTATGCCATTTACCTTGATCGTTACTCATATTTTGGTATGCTGAAGGATTTAGTGCCCACTGGGTTGGGTAATCTTTTCCTTCAAACATTTCTCCACTCATTTTTATCTACTAATGCCCCAGAGGAAAATAACAACTACAAATTAACGCACTTTAACCTTATATGTGTATAACACAGACATTGGTTAGCAATGCGAACTTAAAAGACTACTGAATACAATATATCGGCTACATGATGGAAAAATGTTTACATTTTGTTACTTTTTACAACTTTCACTGCACCGATCAATGTTTTAATACACTTCGAGGCGCCCTATTGCAATATATGTTACTATATCTAATGTATACGACGATTACAGACACGATTCGCGAAAGTTTATCATGCTCAAAGGAGCGACGTAAGCCATAGATTAGTGTAACCGATACAGATTTAATCGAAGCAATTTTACATTTTCTACGTACTTTTTGTTCACTTAATGTCTTAAAAAACTGCCAAACTACTTTACCGGAAAATATTACATCTCCACTAACGGTGGCCGCGAGGTGTCACAACTTACATGCAGGAGCGTTTCCAGTACTGAAAGCGTATGTGGCGCCACCACTGACTTCGCTACATGAAAATAAGAACTGATAGTCGTAGGAGGGAAGGACGATCGTCGCTGTTCGTAGCAATATTTTACTATCTTTTCTATCAGGTAATTATAACTTTCCATCATTTCTAAAATATCACTCCATCATTCAAATCATACCGAAACTTGTATCTATTATGCGTGAATTGTATTTGACGATCAAACACACTGACTTTGTTGGTAAGAATACAGTGTGTTGTACAAAGATAAAATATCATAAGACTCTTTGCACTTTGCGCCAAAACCTTCCGCCATTACATTTTCCTATCTTCCGATTATTCAAATACGATCTCACGAAATTTAAAAATTTTATAGAATATTTACAGAGATATAAATTCTTAATAATACGAGATGTATTATTCGATAGGTTCATTTCAAATAGATTGGAAATAGGAGGAAATATTAATAATTCTACTTGCAAGCCAACACGAAAGAGTGGTAAGTTCGTTTCAAATTAATATTTAAATGTACATTTATTCTATACGCTAATTTTGTGATAAAAAAATAATATCTCTTAAGTAGATTAAATTTTTGATTGTGTTTTATTACATTTCTGCTGAAATTCTCCGTAAATTTACTGAGTAATTATTCGAACAAATTAAACGAATTAGAATGACGAAAGTTTAATTTGTAGTTGAATTGCGTTGCCGAGGGTAGCGGGGTGAATTAACGTGTTCAGCTAGTGGGGATGAATGTACCACCCTGTGTCAGGTGTTGTACCACGCGGCTGGTTAGTCTGCTTAAAAACATTGAAGCTTCATGAGCTTTCGTGAACAATTTGGCCGACGAGTCTTTCGTGAACGCACCGAGAGCTGTAATACAAGTGAGCTCCCTTATAGTTATTTAATAAAAATTATGACATTAGTGTTTGCATTAAAATGCATTTTAACGCGCATTTCGAAAGCAAAATTATTAGTTTAATTTCCATATAAAATATTCTTTTTGTCACAAAATTAGTACTTAAATAAAAAATAATATTTGGGCATCCAATATTCGTTATTTATTTTTGAAACGTGATTTCGAACAAGAAATTAAATCTAATAATCTGTTCTCCAGATCTTCGAGATCATCAACGTCAACGATAAATTCCAAACTTCTCTCATCGTCCCATGATGCTCTTCGTCGATTGGTCCACGTCGGAGGAATCGCTATTTCAAGGAAATTAGACTTCGATGACCACTGTTCTTCGTTCGTTGTAAGTGCTCAAGCTGTACCTATTTTTTACCCAATTACGTTCTTAATTACAAAATACGTTGGACGCAATGGCGTGCCAATTAATATTTTCCCACGCAGTGGCAGCCGCGTTGAATATCACGCTTCAGATTTAATTCTGTCCCATGAAATGCATCGGATTTCTAAAGCAGGTTGTTGACTTAATAAAGACGCCGGTTGAATTGCGCCGGTTCCACATTCGTGCGCCACCATTCAGACAACCGTGCACAATGCCGCCAATTTGTGCCTTTTCCTTTTTTAATACATCCTTGACGCGACTAGCGCGAAGCTTAAAAGTCGCGTAGAAAGTTCTCTTATCGATAACTGGAATCCATCGGTCTTGGAACTAGATCAGCCAGCTTTTTCATATTCAGCGTATGAATCCGTCGGAACACTTGAACTATCACAAAGCAGTTTATCTATGAGAAAGATAGAGCACAGCGGAATCAGTGTTGCGAAATCAGCTTGGAAAGCAAGTGGAATAAATTTAGGTTAAACGTTTTATCGATTCCCGCGAACGCTTTGAAGGAACAGCGATTCATACGGTTGGATTCTCCGGTGGACACCTGAACAAATCCTTAAGCGGCTAAGGATGTCAAGGAAACGATGAAACTTGCCTAGTAGGCAGTATAATTCGTTCGCCTGATTTGGCATTTCGAAGAAACACCACACGCACCGGAAATCATGGAACAGAGGCGAACTGGACAGCGAATAGCGAGTCGAAGAAGCCCCGAAGAAGGACGTTCACGAATTTGCAATCTCCTTCAACACGGTATCGATCTGCTTACTCTCACGACCTAGAAATAGACAATTCGTATCGACATTTTCACACATGTGCCAAGGGATGCGTTCTGAACTTCGCGAACAGCCTAACCAGCTGAATTCCTCGTACTTGATATATTATCGCCAACTTTATCGCGTTTCGTAATGATACGTATACACGTACATACGTTATGTGGTACGACTTCTTCGATGCCCATAAAAGCCTACAACTGATCATAATAACGCGAATGTGCCCACGCGATAAAGCTACGAAACGAGGTTTGACATCGATTATTTCTCAACTTGGAAGGCAATTTTGAGAAGGAGAGATCCCTTTACTCGTTCGTTGCTATCGTTTAAGCGAAACGATGGAAGAAATCACCATGAAACGTCTCTAAACTATAGTTCAATGTCAATTAGCATCTTTTATGCAACACGTTGCATCCATGAAATATCAATCTCTGCGATCGTAAAGCGACGCCAGTAAAATGCTGCCTCGTTACATTCGACAGAAGTCATTTCACGGCTCTCGAATATCGAACACGCCAGCGGGTTTCCCTCCCTTCGTCAATAAAACGGCAACATGTGCTTTACACTGGTTTTATAGCCACGCTAGTTGCAAAACTTTTTACAACGCATTTCAGGTATCCGTGAACATATCCCGCGGACATTAACGCGCTCTATGCCCTCCGCTGCGATGCGTCAGTTGTATCGTGCAAACTTTCCCGATCGATTTTGTCAAGAACTAAGCCATCTAAAAAGCCTCATTCCACTTTTGCTGATTTACCGGCTCACGTGTAACGATGAAATCATTTTATATCGTCATACGAAGAAACGAAGAAGCCGCCAAGCTGAACTTCGATGCTACGAGCGAAATTACACGGTACGTAATGGCAACGATAATCTATAATGAACGAGTCACCTCCACGTAAGTACTCACGCTATGTAAACGTTCCGAGCACATACTTCTTCAATAGCTGATAATTTTCTGTTAGGTTGCTGTTGCATCGACCTCTACGCATCAAGATTATCTTGGGCGATCCACGCGGAACAAAGTTGGAGACCACTTAAGATTACAAACAAAAACGTAGGAGAATTGAGAGCCACTGATATGCCACATTTTTCCTTCGCTGATCGACTGTTTCTTTCTCGATCGGCACCGTCGTTCCTTCGAACGATCGTCGTTCTCTTTCCCGCCACGGTCGCCCCACCACGCTGTCCTCGCGGGCAAAACGCTTACCTCGTCTCACCTGTTTTCTTAATTTCTTCGCTACGTGCGTCTGCGATTTTCGCGCTCGCGTTACATCGAGACGGCGCGAGATCGATAAGAGTCACCGGTCTGCCTGCCGCGGAATACGCGCTGGATAAACCGCATTATCTTGATCCACTACGCTCTTGTTCGCTCTTCATCAACTGGCGAAAATCGCGTCTGGGTCGTGCACGATTACCAACCTCGCTATCGTGATAGTTTTTCTTTTTTTGTCGCGGATTTTCGAGCGAATTCCGTGCATCGAAATGCCTTATCACGGGCGATAAGGCTTGGTGAAAATGTGTTGTGGTCGATAAACGCGCGGATTCCGACCGCTACCGGGTCGGGCCACTTGCTTTTTAATTCCTTTGTTTACTATAGATCGAAATGCGGGATCATCGGGGCGAATCGAGTTAATCGGTTTTAGTCGCGCCGCGGCGTTCGATACGGTTCGAATCGTGGCTCGTGTGGAAAGAGAGCGAGGACAGACGCTGTTAAATCTAAAAATTCGCCGAATTGTCGACGATTTAAGCGTAAACGATTTAGCGGGTACTTATTAATCAGCGTGTCACGGGATCGCGTTAGATCTTCGAGGTCAATGAACTGTCACGCGATGTGCCTCCGTGTGTACGTGTGCGTGTGATTTGTCCTTTTCTTTCATTTTTTTTTTCCATGTGAATCGTGCCTCGAACAGGAAAATGGTAATCGGTGAGAAGTACGGAGAATGCGGTGAAACCTCGAATTCCGAGTGATTTACGATCACCGGTCACCGTCGCGATCGCGGTTGCGATCGCGGTCGCAGCCCGCGCGTTTATCGTGCTATGAAATCTGTGTAAACCAGTTCCTTCGGTCGCGTGTAATTTCGTTTGTTATTCGCGAACGTATTCGGTTTCGGACTGTATCCAGTTTCGTTTGGCTGAGAGGTACCACGGTTTTCCTGTGCCATATTGGGACCAACTGATCGCCATTGTCCTAACACGGGGCACGCTGCGGCTACTGCGTGAGCACCTCTGTATCATCACGTGGTATCGTACCAATTTCGACTCTATTATTCTGTCAGCAGTGAATTTTCTTATTAAATACAACCGTCGTTAGCGGGACCGTTGAGCACTTCGATACCGTGTTCTTGACAGAGTCTAGCACTCGCGGCTGATCGACGTTCCATTGTTAGATCCGTACATGTAGATATCGCAGGATACCACGATCGGAATAGTTGGAGATGACGTAAGGCCGTCGAAAATTCCGCGTGCATATAGCGAATAGTTTTTAAGTTTGCGCTCAGCGGTTTTAATCAACTGAACTTCGCGCCACCTTGAGCAACCTTATCGGTGCATTCACGAACGTGGCAACGCGTTACGTGGTTCGCGGTGCATCGATTTAACTAGTGCAAATTTTGAGGCCAGAATCGGGAACGTTGCGAGCTGATACCAGCGAGTTTTGTGGATTTTCCCCTACTCAGCTTTCGCTATCTATTTTTAACCGACACGCCGTTATCTCTCTAATATCAATAAATTCCCGTTCCGTTACAGAACCTGGCTATCTTTCTCCGCGAAAGGCATTTATTCCTGCTTTCGTCTGTCTTGTAAATTATTATAAACCGTCGAATAAGGCACGAGCGAAATTGTATCCTTCGAGCAATAACGTTTCCGCGTTCGAGCACCGTCTTAATCGTCGTTAACTGTTACCTTCGTTCTTCTTACGCCGCTATCAAGGTGCAAACACATTATTGTTCGTGACGTTTCTCGTAAGTCCACGATAATATCGTGATATGCCGCTACACTTACGATAGCGTTAATTGCGGTGACGAAACGCGATCGTGAACGTAACTGAACAAAACATACTGATACAGCTTAAATGCGTTTCTACCTGCAACCGTGGTGTAGCTATGTAGCAAGTTCTTTACTACAACGTTGGTAAACGAAGGACAAAGAGAACGGTTAGAAATGTTAATACATGTGAACACGTGTGTACACAAACGAGTAGAAAGATAGCGAAAAAAGAGAAACCGTATTTCGTTAATCAATCGTGGATTTATCGGTCGAGAAAGGGGGTCAGCGATAATGAATCGATAGTTAATGCGACACGATTTGTTAATGGAATTTATTAATCCCAATAAAACACCGGCTGAGCCGGTGGGGCCGATTTCAAAATTAACTGCGACCGCGAGGTTAATAATTCAGCGATTGTCACGATTGATAACGATGTTAGCTAGCGACGCTTAATTAATTATAGCCTTTAATGGAACTACTTCAAAGCAAATAATGCGTAATAGGATCGCAGGCCACGGTAACCCCGTTATCAACGTCTCCAATGGATTATCGTCGACATCGATGCGAACTTAATTAATCAGCATCTCTCGGGAATCCTTTTAAAACGTCCCAACCCTCGTTTAACGCTAGGCCTACCGAAGTAATTAAAACGATTACTTGCCAACATAAATGTATTACCTCCTTGACACGACTACAAAGTGATCCTTAAAAAGGTCACACGTTACCACTGGAAAAACGAAAATGGCATAAAATCGAATTTCTTTTCTCTCTTCCAGTAAGAATGCCTTGAAAAAGCCATCGTTTCGACAGTTTCGCCACGCTTTAATCGTCGATGGTTCCAGCGTTAGGTGGTCCAGGGCGAGCAGGACCAGGAAAGAGACGGACAAATACGCCAAGTAGGCGTGCTAGCCTGAGAAACAGCATTTACCACGGAAGTTCGCACATTGTTCAGCCACGATTTGCTCGATCGACGATAGCACTGGAACAATAAACGTCGCTCGGAATGGAACAATCTCTCGCGCGCGGCTGTAACAATTGCACGATCCACGCACGGCCATAATACGATTCTATTGATCCGATTCGCCGGTCTGAAGCTGCTGGCCAGCCGGCGGCGTGGCGGAGAAATTTGCAATAATCGGGGATCGACGAAAGCCGCTTAATTGTTCGCTCGAACGCGTGTTCGTTCCGCGACCTCGGTGTTTTATTGACGGTTCATCCGCAGTGCTTGGAGCGGTTCGCGTGATTGGAGTTACACGTGAAACGCTCGTTTATCTCCAGCGAGCCGACCTCGATGAAGTGCGGCCAATTTCGCCAGGCCGCCCGAGTCCTTTCGGATAGCAAAGCGCGGCCAATTCGTCCGGCCGAGACACAGTGGAATCTTTTAAAAGAACCGTGATTTGCTCACGGGGAGGAAAAAAGAAGCTTACTGCACGTGCAAAGATATATCGAGCTTGGCACGATGACAACGCTGAAGGACGAGAAGAGGGCGACGAAGAAGTCGAAGAAGAGCAACCAGACGACAGTCTCCAGTCGGAGCGCGAAGGCAACGAAGCAGGTACCCTCGAAGAGCAAACAGTCGAAAGTGGAAGCAGGTATAGCGACTTGAAGCTGGTCTTCGAAGTTAGCCTTGATATTGCTCTTTGCTATTTAGCAAACCAAGAAAACCTCTCGGAAAGTTTTTCGGAGTTGTCTATCTTCCTCCGTTGTCTTATTATCCTCTTTGCTCCGCTTCTAATAACGTTGACAACGCTTGGTTCTTTCCAGGGGGACCAAGGGACGATCCATCGATCCACGATAGCGGCGACAATGCTTCGAAAGATGTGACGGAGGAGACGGCAAGGTCGAGCGGAAGACTCGAACGGAAGTCATTCCGTCGGAAAATCGGGTCGCTGATAAGAGGCAGCGCTGCAGAGTTACCGGCTGCGATAAATCGCAGCCTGCAGCCGATTAGGCGTAGCCTGAGCTTCAGCAAAGACTTGAACCGGGTGCACGAACCCTCGAAACCTCACAGGACCATCAGCGCGCAGTGGTATAACAGTTTGGTGTCATTGGCGGAAGATGAATGCCTGGACGAGTTGGATGACAGCTCGGCAAGGAACAACACGTTCGAGGAACTCTTTCCACCCAAGGTTCAAGTCACTAGGACGCAGAGTCTCATCGACACCACTTTCGTAAGGGTTACTTTCGTACAGATAGAGTTATCCATCGGAACAGCGACCTCTACCACCCTACCGTGCTGGTAAATTGATCGACTTGGTAGCCGAATTAATTTCTTTCTATTCGGGGTGAATTAAGTAACCTCGAGAGATCGGATTTATCGAGGTGAGCTGTTCCTCGTAGATTTATTTTGCTTCGTCGATTTCACCGACATCCTAGTTATGCAATATTCACCCTCGTAATTAAGACCTAATGAGCTTTTCCACCGAATTTGAATGGGATTTTAAATGAATTTGAAATGGAAATTGAGTCGTTGGAGTAGATTAGCCTCGGAAGATGGATTTGCATTTGTGTTTAATATAAAATCCAATGAGGCAAACGCTGATGGATCACGAAGAGAGTTACCTTAGCGGTATCCCTAATTTTTACCAATTTTATTCGCGCAATCGAGTTTCGTCGAGGAAACAATGACGCATATTAATCAGGATTGACTGGACGAGCTACGAAAATCCTCGTAGCTAACCGATTCGTATTTATTCGATTTCGAGTCGAGATGAAAACTCGTTCGATCGACAAACTAAATTAACGCTGCTTTTCATTAAATTGAATTAATATGCGCATTGATTTTCAGCCATTGAGTCGAATACTTTGTTCAAGAAGGAAGCAAAGCTCGGCACTTTTCGTAATTAGCAAACATCACGTCGATTCGCAAAATCTGGCGCCTCTTTGGACACATTTCCGATTGCTCAGACTTCACGAAGCGTCCCTCCGTTTAGTGTCATCGAAGTTTCATCCATTCTGACAGGAACAACTCTACCGAATTGAACAATAATAACATTTTCCCATCGCGATGGGCATGCATCGCTTAAATAGGGTGCGTTCGCGTCATATCGATACGACTTAAAACTTACCATCGAGCGAAGATAAATTAACGTCCAGTGAAATATAAGGCTATCCACCCCGACTGCGGTAAAAATTGCCTTTTATTAAAATGCCGACTCGTTCTTTCCCTCGGCGATAGTTCCGAATAGTTTCTTCTTCTAATTAAAAGGGTAGAGTAATATCCATGGTTACCCGATAACGATAACAGATAGAATTCTAACCTGGACTGTAATTTAACTCTGGAACTAGAACTAGAACCGATGAAAACGGCCGATTACGCGCTGTCTTTATTGTTAAAGAAAACACGTGGCTATACTTTGTAGAACTAACGTCGATGTCTACCGAGATAAACGCGTAATTATATACGCCCAATTATTTCCATCCTAACGCTGTAATTACCGCTATCTATGTACACAATATTCAGTCGCACATTACGTATGGATCGATAGTTGCAGCGTTAAGTAAAAAATTCGCAATTCAGTAGCTGCCCGATGCCATTAGGATATCTAACCCTAGATCGAGCGATGGAAGGAAGCAGACATGAATGTTTAACTTGGTCGTGTACGTGGATACGCATTCGTGAGTCAATAGTCGAAATAAAGCTGGAATGTGAACCAACCTTAAGACCGCTCGGTGTTCGCTGTAGAAACTTGATCAATAATTTTGCCCTCGCTCCTCGACCAGGCCCGAGACAGTAAATATTTGGATCACAGATTAATCCGAGATTCTTTACGCTTTTCTCATTTTCCCTCCTACCTTTTTAATGCATCCTTCTATTAAAAAAGGTAGGACCAAATCAGCGGGGTCTTATACTTTCATTCGCCTGCGTGTAATCGCATTCGTACGTAGGAGGCGCATTAAGAGGATGAAAATATCCGCGTCGGTACAATATGGCACGGGAAGAGATATCTTCCTCGACCACGCTAGAAAAAGATCGTTAAGGTCGATGTAAATAGAAGGTGCTTTCAAGCTGCCGGTAAATCCCGCTTGGCTCTATTCTTGCACGAAACAAGGATCCTTCGTCTTGTCTCGGCGTGCATCTTTTATCGCGACCAAGATGAAGTTCCGCGAAACGACCTTCTTCCAAGCCTTTTCCCCGATCGTATATCTTTCGGGGTTCCCTTAATTTTCATGCGCGTTCGAGCGTCGCGATTCGATGTAAAAGAAATTGCATGTTCCAGCAGACCAGAATTCCGAGGAGGCGAGTGAGCGAGCTACAGAGTCGAGCCCCTTACGGACGGCACAGCGACCATTATGACTCCACCATAGGTAATTCTAATTGTCTCTATTTCGTTTAGACACCGTGACATTTCCGATGCTGCGCCAAGTTCGACTGGGAACAGTCTCGGGAGACGATTGCGTTTCTCGTGTAGGTTTCGTGCCGTTTTGAAATGGAATTTGTATTCTCCTACGGTTGCTTAACTTTCTCTTTCGATCGAGTTTGCAAAGATTTAATTAACGTTCAGCTCGGTCAAGAGTCGCAGTCGTGACTGAAAAGTTTCATATTCTCCTTTCCAGATTTAAGTAATCCGCCTTGCGAAGCTAGCAGCCTTCCCGCCCTCGCGCACACTGCGACGGATGAAGGCTACAGTGAACCGAGATCCCCGTAAGTAACGCAAGATTTAACGTTTTATTGAAACTCGAACGAAAACAGGATCGCGAGACACGAGAAATCTTCTGAACTTTACCCGCTGCTACCTGCAAAGGGAAGGAAGGAAACAACGTTCTCAAAGAAACTTCGCCGAGTTAAGTTGCCGAGCCGGTACCTGCTATTCTTTTCCCCATTGAGAAAGACACTGCGATCATATTAGTCCCTGGACCTAGGGGTAGCCTTATGTTATCAACGACTAACGGTTAATTAAAATCGCTTTGCCAACATGGAGAGCAACGGTGTTGCTTTTGTTTAAAGGAACCTCGCAAGCAAATTGCACCTCGCAGCTGCTCGACTTACAGAGTTGCAGACAGAAATCTCGTAACTCGTGTTTCGACATTACTCGCACACATGGCTGTCTTTCACGTGCATCAGTGGTAAAGAGGTTGCAGAGCCTCGCCTAAACCATTAATTCCGAAGGAGACGCTTTTGCTGATGAAAAACAGGGATAGCTTTGAAGCCACTTCCTGCAGATCGAAAGCAGCACGAAAAAGAAACCCTAAATCAATCTGGGCAAGCATCGACGCGAAGAACGAAGCAATATCGTCCCACTCTTGAAGCAACAACGACGTAACATCGAAGAATCGTTTCGAAAGTTGTTTCTTTCCTCGTAGTTTTGTTTCAAGATGCATGGTTCTCTCCCCTTCTCGTTCGTGCGCCTCTCTTTGAACGGACGAAGAAGTCATTCGTTACCACTTCGAATCACCTTGTACTACAAAAGCATAAGTTTACGTGCCACGTACGTAATTGGTTCGACCCAGTTGCTAACAATCCCGAGAAGTACCCGGGCCGCGCTAGCCCTGAGCAATTCCGGTTATTCTTTCTCGTGGATGGAAACGAAAGGAATGCGGTACACGGCGAAATCCCTTTCTTCACCCCTCTCTCTTCTTTCTTTTTCTTCCTTTCTTCTCTTTTTTTCCCAGAATAACTGGGTTGAGAACAATGAATTTTAACGGAGATATGACCGATAAAACATTTTACAAACCTTTATTTCTCCTTTCCCTTAAAGGTAAACACGGGATTTAAACGTTGAGCGCAGCAGACATAAAAATGGAGGAAGAAAACGGAGACAATAATTTCCTTAAGAAGTCCTTAATGGAACCAGAGGAACAGATGCTTGACCGGAAGCAGGAGCAACGTCGCTCCGACTTTTCTCTTCAGACGGAAGAATGATACGGGTCTGACTGGCGGTGTACGCGTGGCATACGTAATATCCAGCTATAGTTAGGTTTCCTTGAAAGGATTTGGAAGGAAGAGGAAACGGAAGGAACTGTTTCTTCGCGGACCAATCTCGGTAATGCCTACGCAACGGTCCACAGAGAGATCCGCGCATATGTTGCCGAAGGTTCGAGCCCGACGTGAATAGAACGGAGGAAGGAAAGGAGATTTTAATCAGTGGCGGTGTGTTTCGACACGGAAACGAAGAAGAGAGTACAGGAAGCGTGATTCTTAACGCGAGTTCCTTCAAATTGCGGAAAACGCATGGACGAGCGGACGGGAAAGACAAAGAGGACGAAAGGACGAGATGGTCCCTTCTAGTCCCATCTGCCTGAGCTCGATCCGACGGCATTTATCTCGCGGCAAGATTAAAACGCTCAGAGGAGGTTAAATAGAAAGTATCGCGAGATCATTTTCTTCGAATTGCTCGTCTCCAAAGAACGACCTGTCTTCATTTGCATTCTTTTCATTCGCTACGTTCGATCGTAACTGGATTGAAATTAATTACCGAGCTCTAAAAGTAGGAGAATTCTATCTCCCTCTTTTCTTCTTTCTTTTTTTTTCTGTTTTAATTTTCACGGAAGAGGGTACAATGTGATGGAAAGTGATGGAAAAGTGTGAGCGCAATTTTGTGTCCGTTTTTCCTCCCTTCCCGCTTTTTCCCTCGCGATCGATACGGAATCAATCTCTATCGGCATCCGTGACACGAACCACGACGAAACACCGGCGAAAATCTTACTCTGCAATTTGCAAAATTTCCCTGGAATCGCGAGCGGTATAATACGACCAGGCCCGCCCATTAATCATTCGCGAAGTTCATCAGCGCGCGCGTGACAATATCGAAAACCATTTCATTTTCAATTTATCCACCGTCATCCATTATACAGTACACGGATGATTCTTAAAACGAAAAAGCGCTTTCAATCGGAATGATAAATTACGCGGATCCACGGCGTGATAAATTGCCGGGAATGTTCTTAATGAGGAAACAAAAATAAAATTCTTTTCCATGCTTAATTAACGCGTTCTGAAAAATGTTCCCGTATCGCGACACCTTTGTCATTCATCTATCACCGATACGGTGTGTCGCACGGGACAGACCGGGGCGTGATTTATTTTCGATAAAACCGATATACCGAGCATTTATCTTTAAGCTCTTCTCCCTGTATTTATAGAGCCCTGCTCGAAGGGTTTATATTTAACCGGTGAACTTTTTGTTCCAGCCACGAAAGGGAGCAACAGGTCAGAAACGAATGGAGGAACCTGAAAGCTGTTGTCCGAAATTTGTCTCTGCTGCATGTCGGCCAATCCTCTGCGAAGCATCACTCGGTAAGTGTCTGACAAGCGGCTTAATTAGTTCAACGCTTCCTCGAACACGCCTGGTTCCATCTAGTTTTGCTACCCTAGTTCCACCCCTGAAACCAGCTTGCGTATTATGTCTCCGAACTGAGCGTTAAGCGATATTAATCACGGAGCCAACGAAGCTTATCTTCTCTCCAAAATGGAGGCGAACAGCGTAAAAATGATACCCGTTGCGTCACAGGATGCTGCGTCCCCCTCGACGCCGGTGCAACGGCGTCGAACTCGAGGGACCTAATTACCACGAGCAGTCGGAATTCTCGCGACCGTTTCGTAACTCGCAGAAAACAGGAAACAATAAAGGGACGTAATTCGGAAGGGACGTAGAAAATAAGACGAACGCGGAGCAACGTTAAAGCGAAGCAACCCGCTCCGGAGTGATCAATTAAGGCCACGGGAGAAGTCGATGATCAGCGAAGTTTAATAACGATACAAACGAGTACATTAACTTTGCGTCTTCGTTAAACACCGCCTTTGCTATGTTCGGTGTCCCCTTTAATTAACGGTATAGCAGAGCAATAGCAGGGAGTGTCGCGTGACAGAGACGCTGACAGACAGCATTCCTCCCGTAATCTTTTTACGCGAAAAAGGTGCTTTCAAGGGCATTCGGCGTAAAGCTTTGCCCATAATCAACACTCAAAGGATTTCTTGCTGGTTTTTCGCGTCGATTTCCAGCAACTCCTGTGACACGCGCAGAGGGCTTTGGAACGTTTGCGAGAATTCAACGGGTCCTATGCTTTTGACTGCTGCATCCCGTCTGCTCCGCGAACAATCCTCGTTTTCGTGCGGAAAGAAGCGCAAAAAAGGCACCGCCAGAGGCATCGACTCTCTGTGCCGTGGCCTTTGAGGCTTCGCCAAAGATGCGTCTTTTTGCCGCGTGTGCCTGCCTCTATCAAGCGATCCTGAATCGTCGTTGGCTGCTTATTATTCGCGATAATTGCGACTCGAGTACGTGGCTCGTTCCCGATCGTAAAAGTGAAATTTCGGGAAAAAGGGAAGAGACATTCGCCGGAGAAGGGGGGAGTTCCCTTTGAATTTCCCACGCCCTGAAATACCGAGCGGAGAATTCTCCAGGCGTTGATAACGACTCCTCCGGTTTCCTTTTGCACGTTTATTTCCCTGAAACGGATACAAGCCCGGTTCCTGTTTCAGGCTAGTTATAATTTCGAAAACACCGAAAGTATCACTGTTACTCCGCCGCAGTGTATCCTTTGAGAACACGAGCCCCACGATGTTCATCATGCTCCTTGGAAAAGGTTGCTTACATTCCCACGGATAACGCGCGAACATCATCGCGGTAACTCGTTGAAATTGACGCCGTAAAACGGACATTTCGCGTTATGAATCTTCGTGTTAGACCAGTAATAGCCTCTTCCCATTGCTCGGCGAAATTAATCACCCCCTTAATCAGGGAAAAGGATGCAGTAACTATAAAGCTATTAAAGCGAGAGCAATTACTCTCTTTCTTTTGCTACGGCCCGCGAAGAGAATGGTGTCGTAAAAAGAATCATAGAAATGCAAGCAGAGCTTCCCGGCGAATATTTAACCCTTCGACACACCGAGGAAATGAAATTCCACGCGTTCCAAAAATATTATTCAATTCGGCTCGACTCGACTGTTTTCAAGCCTTGGAAATGGAACCGAATTCATCGATATCTCTGAATATGATATAATAAATTTTACATACAACGTTGATGAATTGGAATTAAGTATTATCCTTTGTTTACACGGTTGAAGGACGAGTCAGGAATTTAGTAGAGCGCGAGATCGTTGGAGAGGTGTGATCGTGAGTGACAGTGGACGTCAGAAATGACAGCCAAAGCGAATAACGTCCCTCAGAGGGTTAACGCTAGAACTACCAACCCAGTGAAAATGACTGGTCTCAGAATTTTCTTTTTTGCAATCACCGAACACATACACCTGCTTTAACCGTTTCAGTCCCAAGCAGCGCGATCGCGCTCAACTTTGCTGACGCATGTACGTCACATACTACCAACAAACGCTATTGCGACGATTGGGATTTTTCGACATAAAATTAAACAAGCGCTATCGCGCCGTTTGGACTTCTTCGCACTCGATTAAGGCAAACGTTATCGCGCTGTTCAGGGTTTTCGACCGTGTTCTTCCAAAGCCTCAAGCGCTGCTTGGGACTCAAACGGTTAAGAATAAAATTGGTATCAACTCATATTGAGAAAGAATTGTAATTAATATATTCACTCATATTCATCGTACCGCTGAAATTACTATAATCTGTGCACGTTATAGTTAGGTACCCGTTAAAGATCGGTAGTTCTAGCGTTAATTACCCGAACACCGAAGGCAAGGTCCGGAAAGGACGAAGTCCTCAGCCTCGAACTTGGCCCGGGACGCGAATGGAACGACACCGGTTTATTGTTTCGACGGTGTTGACCCTCGTGCTCGCACCCCTCTTGGAGTTGCCGGCAATCGCGAGGATTTTTCCGCGCTTTGGATGACACTCCACAGGGTAAATACGGGCGATCATTAAATTCGTCGAACAGGAAACACGATCGCGTGAAAGGCTCGCCTTCCAGAGAGGCGTTCGAGCGTCGATTCCAACCCCTGCTTCTTTTCTTTCCCATCCAATCCTTTTTTACCCTTCATTTTTTCCTCCTTTCTCCTCTCTTCGAGCCGAACGGGCAGCAGATAGAGGACCGGGACAATGGAAAACACGGATCGATGGAGAAATTAATGGGCGTTCTCCTTTAATACGAAACTCTCGTCTCCGTTTCACCTGGCGCCGCTTGCTCGCGGATTTCTGACAGCCTTCCACGACCGGTCTGAAGCGTAGAACCGTGGCTACATTGCCACATCGTGATTCCCTTCTCTCTCATTCCCTCTTCCACTCCTATCTTTTGTTCTCGCCTTCCGTTTTCCCGCCATTCTCCGTCGCTTTTTATTCCGGTCCACTCTTTTCCGTTTCGCGTGCTCGTCCCACTGATTTCATTTCCTCGGCAGGACGATTCAATCTGTGCACCGTTCCGTGTTACTTATCGTAGCTCTCGTTCGAATCGAACGCCGTTCCCGTATCGACGGGACGAGCCTGGTCATGGACGACGCCGCGTTTCGAGCCCGCTGCCCACGAATGGGGAAAAAACCGCTACCACCCGCACGCCGCTGGGCCAGCCTGCCTGTCGGCCACCGGTGTTCCCCATTTGGCGGGAAATTTTTAATCAACCGCATTGCCGCGCCGCTCGCAACACCGATTTATGGATCAACCGACCCGACATGCGGCGAAAGAACGCGAAGAACAGCTGTTCCGCCGCGAATTATCGCGCGGCCAATTCACAACTGCGAGTTTCCGTTCGATCCGACGTCCCCGGCTGAAATTGTTGCCCGCGGCTCGCGGCCAGGGACATAAATTAAAACGAATTCGCACGGATTCGTTACACCTTGGTGTACGATTTTGGGATCACAGAGATGGAAGGAACGTGGGACGAGGGAAATATGGGTCAGCGAACTAGCTCGGGCTTTGGGGTATTTTGCGTTTTTATAAATCCTGAAAATTGGATTGACCTTACGTCGGCCATTTCGTTTCACCTGCGCGGGATGGAAATTAAAATATGGGGAAAATAACCGTTATGGAGCTTTCATTTAGAACTTTCAACGAACGGTTAATCTACTCGGCGTCCATCGCTGATTTGTTTAAGCCATTCGAGTTTTTAATTAAAAAATCTGCGTCCGTCCGAAATGAGAACGGATGACAGGCCGTCGAAGTTGAACGAAGTTGCATCGCTTGTATCTCGATGAAACGAGTTTCCAATGCTGTTCACGGGCGACGTATTTCAGAAAAATGAGGAAAATCGGGCCAGATATTCGCGGTAATTTGAAAACGAACCATCTTCTTGTGCATCCGCTTCTTGGGCCGCGCGCGATATTCGAAAATGGCGTCGCGAGGTTCCATTCGGTCGTGGAAGATCGTGCGTGATGCACGATTATGATCTCACGGTGTGATTCAATGCGCAAGTTCGATTAACCCTCGTTTCCGATCGATCTATAACTCTTGTCACCCGCTGCTTCATCGCACTTACGCCTGCACGTGCTATCGATCGCGGAAAAATCGTTGCAAATAATGAAACGTCGAATTGCGATCGGATTGCTTGATGAAACAGCGAATAAAATACCGCTATATCCCAGTTTACCGAAATATTCTCGTTACTTTTAGTACAACAGTATTTTCATCGGTTTTCAATCGAACAAACAACCTCGCGGATTTGAATATTCATCGAAGTTTTCCAGATTGATAATCGCGAAATTTAAAAGCGACCTAGTTGTTATGCTGAAATACGACGGATAGACTAATCACGCGATATCGATTTCGATCTCATTACGGGAAATAATATGTTTCGCGTTATACTCTCTTGCCTGTATTACAATATGCGGAACGTAATAACTGAATCAGGTGTTTTAATCCCATGGACAAAATGGCAGGTTTTAATCCCATGGACAAAATGGCTGGTTTTAGTCTATGCGCGGGTTTACGTATTACAAAATGATTAGAAAAAGGAGGTAAAATAACCTTATTATGTTAACCAGCATCCTGTCAATTTCGAGCCAGCTTGTTTCCTCGTAAACTGATATAAAGAGAAGTTTTACGTATAATATATTCAAGCAAAATATTTATCAAAATTTTTATCATAATATGAACACTAAATTTACCACTATTTACATTACCGTGTTTTAATTCTTTCTCCATTAATTTCGTAATTTTTTTCTATGTGGTAATCATACATATGATTAATTTTTCAATATCTCCAATTTCTTTTAGATTCTTCTTTCTTTACTTTTTTACCTACCGGTCATTCGATGGTTTAGTATTAATTTTAAATGTTTGGAGGTGCTATACAAATTTTTCCAATTTTTCTCTCAATTATTTTTCACAGAAAAAGGTACAATACAATACGTGGGTGTTCCTGGTTCGCGCAGTGACAATTGCCAAAATTAATTTTTGC